GCTGACCCCCCCCGTCCCCGCCTGTCTTCCCAGGAGAGGTGTTCCAGCCCTCTCATTGTTTCTGTGGCTCCTCTGGACCCGCTCCGACAGATCCGCGTCTGTCTTGTACTGGACACCCCAGAGCTGGACGCCGGGCTGCAGGAAGGGCTGAGCAGAGGGGGAGGATCACCTCTCTCAACCTGCTGGCCACGCTCCTCTTTCTGCAGCCCAGGGTGCGGTATGGCTTTCTGGGCTGCAAGCGCACGTGACTAGCTCATGTCCCATTTTTCATCTCCCAGTATCGCCAAGTCCTTTTCTGCGGGGCTGCTCTGGATCCACCCATCCCCAGTGTGTGCTGGGGATTGTCCCAGCCCAGGTGGGGGGCCTGCCCTTGGCCTCGGGGCCTGTCGAGGTCCCTCTGGATGGCCTTGTTTTTGGGTTTCTTTACATGTGATATTAAAGACTTTAACTTTATTTACAGCCCTTTACAATATTGGAGACATGGTTCATGCAGCACGAGGCAAATGGGGTATTAAAGCCAATTGTCCGTGTATTAACCGGCAGAACAAATCGGTGCTGAGACCAGCTGTCACTAATGGCATATCACAGGTATGTCGTGTGAGGCTGAAATTTCCTTGTTTGACATTACAGTTTTAAGATCTATTAAAACTTTAGATCCTTTAGACTAATCTGTTGTGACACATAAACTTAGCAAAAATCTTCTGGGACGTTTTTCAGGGATGTGTGCTGCAACTGTTAATTACCAAGCGGATATTTGGGCTAATGCTCTTATGCAGAAGCTGGGTAGGAAGCCATTCATATTGATGCTATATCTTAAACCAAACCACTATGAGTGGCTTGCAACATATGCATTTGTTTTGTTGTGGTTCCTAAGTGTTTTGCTGAATGTGGAGCAGTTCTGTTACTGTTCACACAAAAAGTTTTAAAAAAAAAAAAAAAAAAAAGCCTGGCCTTGTGTTGAAAGATGACTGAAGGATGACATGGTAAGAATTCACACCACAGTGCAAGGTCTAATGTCCACAGAGATTACACAGACAAGAGGCTCCTGTACTCTGCTGCTACATGAGCACATACTGTGTGCTTAAAGCAACAGAACCAACAAAAACAACCAACAAAACCCAATACATTGCATAAATAAAATGTCTCCCAAGTTGAACTCTTCCCTTTATTCAACATTTAGCAGTTGTTTACATTTTTGTTTTAGCTTCCAACTGTAAATCCTAGTGCATCAGTCTCTGGAAACGAGAGCGCCTTTTCCACTGGAGCAGGGACAGCAGGAGTGGGGCAACTAGAAATGGACAATGTTCCAAAATCTGAAGCAACTGATAGTAGGATAGAAGAATCTGCAAAACCAGAGACGTTACCAACCAGTAACACTGGTGAAATAAAGACTAACAGACCACTTTGTCCAGAAACAGCTCCATCGTCAGCCTTACACTGGCTTGCAGATTTAGCAACGCAAAAAGCAAAAGAAGAAACAAAAGGTAAGCAGAAAACATGCTGTCTGGGGTTGGAATTACAATAAATGATAATGTACTGCTTGATTGTTATGCTTTATGAGAGTGCCTAGCTCTAAATAGAAAAGAACATGGTCATTTTTCTGCCTTTGTCTCTTGGAACCAGATTTCTTTTACAACCTTACCAATATGCAAAGCTGGAAAGATGATGATGCAGCTGAAGATAAACATACTGTCTTGTCACTCCCAGTTTATTTCAGTGCCTGTTCTTGTATTTATTTTCTAAGTAATAAGCAGCTGGTATCCTAATGTGAAATGGTAGTAATTAATTTCAGACGCAGCTTTGTCACTTTATAACTATTGAAGTAATAAAGCAGTTTTGTGTGCTATGTGAAGAGAGCATTACCAAAGAATTGAGAGAGTAGAGTGTACTTGGAGGGTCAGATGAAAGCTTAGAACTTCTTCAGTACTCTGTAGTTGGAGTGTGATTCTCAATATGAAAGAACTGTTTACAGAAGACACCTCCCAGTTGTCAGAGGTACTGTGACTAACACAGGATTTATTCCTGTCCGTATGTCTAGCAGGAACTACTTTATACGTCAGTGTTAAATGTTCATGACTCTTTCACTAGTTTTTTAGGGCTTCGCTGCTGTAATATTTTGAATACAGTTAAAATTTGAAATAGTTTACATTGAAACATCAATTCAAAAAGTCAAGGAAATGTTTTTTAATTGAGTCTATTGCAAAGTTGTGATTTCTCATGTATCAAACGCTTTCAGATCAGATATACTGTGCTATTCAAAACCCTAACTAACAGTATACTAAGGGTAAAATCTATCTGAAGTACGTGATGTCTTTGTTTCTCTTTGAGGTGCCTCGTTCACTGTTGCAGAGATAATTTACCTTTACCACAAGATTCTGCCAATATCCCATTTAATGCAAGAACAAGTAATTTCAGAGAACTTTGTGATCATTTGAACTTTGTCTTTTTTTCCTTTTTTTTGTTCTTTTTTTTTTTCCCCTCTCTGATGTTGATATTTATCTTGCAGAATCAGGATCACTGAGGTCAGTGCTTAATAAAGAATCCCTTTCACCCTTTGGATTGGATTCCTTCAACTCCAGTACAAAGGTTTCCCCACTAACCCCAAAGCTGTTTAATAGCCTCTTGTTGGGCCCAGTGACATCTAGCAACAAAGCTGAAGGCTCCAGCCTCAGAGATCTGCTGCACACAGGGCCGGGAAAGCTTCCTCAGGTCCCATTAGACACGGGAGTCCCCTTTCCTCCGGTCTTTTCTGCAGCTTCTACGGTAAGTAATTTTGTGTTCCTTCAATGATGTCTGTTCTAGGGAAGAGTTTCATGATGATCTATCAGTTTTCATCTAAATGTTTTTATATTCTTAAATATTGAAACAAATGCAATATCTCACCAAAACTCAACACCCTACAAAGTTGTAGAGAATTTTGATGCTAATCATTAGTTTATGGTTTGGTTACTACTTCTGCTGTGGAGAAGCTATTCCTTGCAAGAGACACAGAAAGTGAGTTAAATATAGCCTTTAAATTGTTTAATTGATAATCAGCATACCTATAAAAGTTCACTTTAAATTCCCCATCTTTAAAAATATTGCAAGAGCATACCACAATGCTGAATGATGAAATGACTTGTCTCAGCAGAATTTTTTTTTTTTCCTTCATGTCAGGCTGGAAGCATGGAACTTTGACAGTAGTTCATGTTGTTTATTTTTGGCAGAGGGAACTGTACGGCAAAATATGTCACTGCTATAGGAAAGTGAATCCAGTAATACTCCCCTCCCCTCCGCCCCTTCTCATCACTGAATACTGACAAAGGAGTTGTGATCACTTGTTCTAAAGCAAGTTATTCCTTCGAGGCTTGAGAGGGCCTGTCTCGGCTTGTCTCCCTGTCCCTTCAGCTCTCTGCATTCTCTCACCACGTTGCATCAGATCTACTGTGTAATTTCTTTTTTCACTTTCTTGACTTCTGGTCTTCTCAGAATAATTTAGATTTGAAAGAACTTGTGGGCAACTCTGGTCCAACCCCCCACTTGAGGGCCTGGGTGCTTAACATAAACTGTATACGAACAGAACATACCTGAGAAACAGCAGTTGTGTTGGTCAAATTGAGAGGAAAAGAGAAGTTGCTGCTCGTGAAGAGAATCATCCTGGTGTTTCTGCAGCATTGGCATTCTGTTGTGAAAAGTGTTTAGTATTGACTGTAATAGTTAAAATACATGTAATCTAATTCGTGGCCTCTAGAGAGTTAGGGTCAAGGCACATTTTTAAGACCATCGTAAGCGAATGATGTTGTGACTTGGTCTTACTTGCAGAAGACAGGCTGTACAAAACGAGCGTAATCCCAAGCAGCAGTCCAGGCCGGGGTCTGAGCAGCAGAGCCCAGGGTCCTGGAGGACAGCAAGCTGAACCTGGGTCAGCATCGTGCCCTTGCAGCTGTGAAGGCAAAGTGTCCTGGCTGCATCAGGAAGCATACAGCTGGAACACATCAAGGAATGTGATTATTCCACTCAGCACTTGTTAGGCCACACCTAGAATGCTGTTTCCAGTTTTGGACTCCCCAGGTGAAGATTGACATTGAAAAATTGGAGGGGGTTCAGTGGAGGGCCATGAGGAACGATTAAAATGTTGGAGAGCCTGACACATGAACAAGGGTCGAAGAAACTGTTTCTACTCATCGTAGAGAGGAGAATGCTTTGGGGATCTGATGGATCTTATATCTAAAAGGCAGTTGTAGAGAACGTGAGGGTACTCCGTTCACAACGATTCACGGTAACGGGGCAAGAGGCAACGGACACAAGTTGCTTCAGGGGAAATTCTCTCTGGGTATAAGAAAAAATTCCTACTTTACATTCAAGCAGTGGAATAGGCTGCCAAGAGAAGTGATGTAATCTCTTCCCTGAGAAGTTAAGGTTTGACTTGCGTGGCCCAAGGTAACTTAACCGGATTTCAACAGAAAGTTATACTGAATCATCTCTAGGTCTTCCTTCTGACTTAGACTCTTCTATAATTCCATGAATATTTTCTACTGAATGAATATCTTCAGTTATGATGAATTGTGTTACGTTTTAGATTGATAGCTCTGCATATGGTAACTTTTCTGTCTGTTGAAGATTAGTTTTAAAGAAGATGGCACCATTGTTCCAGTAATAGTTTTTTGCTGTTAACTATTCACTCATTTTCCAGTCCCTGTTTTTTTTGGGGTGTTTACTTAATGTTTCTGAATTCATCAGCTTAGCTGTGCCAGGGTTGAATTCCCTTGCTTAGTAATGGAATGAGGAAAATGAGGAAATAGAGTTGAGATATTAATGAAGTTAAGAAAAATATGAACCATTTTAACCATTAAAGTAGCGGAGTTTAGATCACTTAAGTTTTCTGTTCCATGATTGTTTGCTGTAATATTTTTCTAGATAGCCTGTAGCAGGTTATTGTAAGTTTTACTATTATAAAACAGGGGCATAGCTGTTTCTGTTCTTAGTGGATACGTGCCTGTCTCTGAGGTGATTTGTTTACTGTTGCATGGTTTTCTGAGAGCAAGATGTCTGACTAAAATCTGAATGAGAGCAGATGTGCATTAATATGGATGCTGTTGCAAGACTAAACTTACCTTTGGATTTATATCTTCTAGGGGGCCAAAGGTAAAGCCAGCCTGCCCAACTTCTTAGACCATATCATTGCTTCTGTGGTGGAAAATAAGAAGACATCTGATGCTGCAAAACGAGCTAGTAGTTTAGCTGACACACAGAGAGAGGTGAAGGAAATGGTAATGGGCTTAAATGTGCTGGATCCACACACTTCCCATTCTTGGCTGTGTGATGGTAGACTGCTTTGTCTTCATGATCCTAGCAACAAAAACAACTGGAAGATCTTCAGGGAGTGCTGGAAACAAGGCCAGGTGGGTGATGACAAATAGACAAATCTGCTTGTAAGTATCCTGAAATTTTAACCTGTGCCTTAGTTATTGACAAGTCCCTTCAAACTTTGGCCAGTTGCTCCTGAGAAAATATGATAAATAAAGATTTCAGCTGTAGCACTGTAAACAGGGGACACAGTCGCCCTGTCCACTCCATGCTGTACTGACTCAAGCCCCTGTGCCCTTGCACATTGAGCTTTTCTCAGATGACCAGTATGAGTGTGCTTGCTGTGACAGCCTTCTTAGTTGTGGTGTGGTTTGTGCTGAACCTGCTCTACCACAGGTCAGTGGTGAATCCACTATGATTTCCTGCATGCATCCTAGCATCCACCCCATACTTGATGCTTTGTAGCCTCAGGGAAAGGTCCATTCTTTACAGCTGCAGCATGTACAAGAATAAAAGTGCTGCACGCATTAATTTCTGCTGACATTTTTAGATGTACTACTTGATGCAGTGTCTCATCCTGAGCCTCCAGTCTGTGTGAACCCAGGTATTGTTTTGAACTCAGCATCTTGTGTGTTCAGCACTCTCCTGGAGTGTCTGAGGGGTCGTCAGCTGGTTAGGCCTTCAGGCAAGAGACTGCCCCTTAGACCTGCTGCCAGCGTAGCCACTTTTTCAGATCTCAATCCATAGTGCTACACCTTAGGCTTCTCCAGAGAGTCATAAAAATTGGCCTCATCAGACAAGTTGAATCTTAAAACATGGGTGAGTAGCTGCTGGGGCAGAGGAAGTGCACCCATAGCTCTAGCAGAATATGATGTCCATCTGTGTTCAAACTGTGTTCTTGGCACTTGGTTCTGCAGCTACCTCTGACATCGTTACCTTCACTGACTTCTCAGAATTAAGACCACTGGTGCTAGACCGTTACGTCCCTCATCATCTTTTCTAGAGAAGTCCTTGTCAGCTATTCCTTGTAATTGTGCTAATGCTCCTGGCATTCTCATTCCATACTTACTTATGGTTGCTTACAAGACATGGACTGCTGAGCTGTGGCAGAGGAACACATCAGCTGCATGTTCTTTAGGCATTGGAGGTCCATGCCTGCCAAAAGTAGAGTACCTTCAGTTAAGTTCAGCGTGTCCCATGGGACTGCACGTTCTCGGGGTCCCCTGGGCACAAGCGTAACCAGCATATAGCCGTGAGGACTGCAGAGAGGACTGTGGCACCACTATCCCCAGTGTTTCCAGTTTCTGTTTCTGACTCCCCTAGCCAGCTCCTGATGGGTAGAAGAGGTCACTGTGCAGCACACCCTCACTTGTCTGACTGAAAACTTAACTTGCTACTGGTATTGCCAGCTTTTCCTCTGATTGCGGTTATCTTCTTGTCTTGATTTTTTTTTTTTTGGAGTGTACAGGGATCTCTTCTTTTTTGAACCTGTTGCATCTTTCTGATTTGTGAAGGATTTCAGATCGTTCTTTTGCAATGCTGTGGTGTCAGCCATCTGCCTGACTTGGCAAAGAGCTCCTTAGTTTCTGGTCAGTATACTCTGATGATTTTCTCAGCCCTCTCTGTCAGCAAAAATACCCTCTCTCTGAGGAAGATCCTAAATATTTTGGAAGCTCCTTACAAAAGCTGTGCTTGTCAGTTTATCTGCAGATGAGACTGGTTAATCACCAGGTACAAGATGCTGCACTTAGTCATTGGGTTCTTGGCTGTTAATGAATCCTGAGAGACTCTGTATGGAGTCTAGAGATGTGCTTACCGATCTTCTGTCAAATGTGTAGCTTGCAGCGTGCATCGCCTTCCAAGTTGGTGCACACTCTGAGGCTCTGGCCACAGCTGCCTTGCTCATGTACTATTGGTGAACCTCTATTTTAGGCTTTGCCCCAAGATGTGCTACTGATGCTTTTGGGTGACTCTATCATTCAGAGCACCCCATGTATAGCAACAGACTGGATGAGTCCCTTGCTCATTCTAAGCTTCTCCAGTGGTGTTGCACTCACTT